ATTCAGTTCCCACAGCAAAAACAAAACCCTGTCAGGGGAGCAGTGTAAGCAAGAAAAAGGAGACTCTCTGAAGGGAGATGCAGAAGGCTGAAATGTAGGCTTAGACCTGGAGATGGAACTGATAGATGTGCAATTCATGAACATAAAGAGAAATACACTGAGGTTTTAAGAAAACCTTCATGAGAAGAAGGGAGAACTCTGTTTATTGGGTTTGGAAGATGCCCTTTATTGGTCAATATTCTTGGGCCTCTGACAGGTATTTAGCTTAAAAATAGCCAGAGAGGGAATGTAGAAGATGAGAAGTCAGCTGCTCATGGCGTTATCAGAAGCACCACTAGCTCTGGGAGATCCCTCCCTTTCACTTGCCAGCATTTCCTTCCAGTAATGCCGTGGTGAAGCCGGAGGGAGCGGATGCAAGAGACTTCTCTGAGTCAGAGAAAACAAATAAAAGCAGCCGACCAGTAATTTCCTCTGAAAGGCTGTTGCAGAGAGACATGTTATGGCTGTGCACACAAAACCCAACACGAAGTTACATTTGAAATCTGCTGTTTAATTTTTGCCTTATAAATCCAGAACTAAAGCTAAGGGTGGAAAAAAAAAAACAACAGTTGAAGTATCCTGCCTCTGTTTTCAGCTGCAGTTACTATGGACAAAGCAGCCTTCAGCTGGAGGTAAACATTTCACAGCAGCATATATCCCAGCCTAAGATGTTACCCCAAGTAGTACTGCAGCCTGGCCACCCCAAAGCTGCTCCAAGAGTAACTAGCAGAGCGTCTGCCTAAGTTTTGACACATGACGTGCTCCTACTTTGGACCCTACTTCAGCAGGGAAGAAGTTCTAAGCAAGCCAGTCTTTGAGGCAGGCAGAAAACATCTTGGTCCTGCAGCAATGTCATATGGACAGGGACCCAGGCCATCCCTCCCCAGGACTACAAAAACACCTGAATCCTGGCTTAGAACATCATATTTTCAGATCAGCATTGGCAGAAAGATCTGGGTTTAAATTCTTCCAAAGGCAAACTCCAAATGCATAATGCACTTATGTTCTCCCAGCAACTGTTTTTAGATCCATTTCTTTTGCAACTCAATTAATCAAGATTTCTTGCTCATTTTAAAATAAGTGGCATTTCTCTTAGAAGGGTTTATTGGTTTTAGTCTTAAAGGTTTAAAAATAATCACACGGGTTCTGAGCTAATCCAGATTCATAAACCTTTCTCTTCCGTTAATATCCGAACATTTTGGGCATCATATTTAAGAGATTCCTTTCTTCAAAGGTATACTATTTTGAGGCTGCAGTAGGTTACCCCGCTGGCCTCCTTATGAAAAACACAGAAGGAGCCTGAGTGTGCGCATGCGTGTGTGTGTGTAGCTGTAGCAGAAATAAGCCATGGCTCTGAGCTTTTCTATCCTCCTTTTTCTCCTGAGAATGGAGAATCTGTAGATCTCTTTTTTGGAGTTGGCCTATGCTCCTCATCTGTTGTTTTCCATTCACCCTATCGTCATTTAAGGGGATCTTTTTAAAATCTTTCCTCCAGAGTGAGCAAGGACATCTTTCCTTTTATTCTGACAGCAAGGCTGGTTCAGTAACATGTTTCTGCTTGTCAGACTCCCTTACCCTCCCCTTCTCCACCCTCCTGTGTTTATTTCCTTCCGTGTGAGAGGCAGCTGTGTCCCCTGAGGAAGAGCCCAGCCTATGGCCAATTCCCATCCCTCCCGGCGCATCTCTGCCCTGACAAGCAGAATGAGGGGTTCCAGCCCTCATGGTTCTACGTCCACTCTGTTGAGGCTGCCAATTAGTGGAGGAAGTGATGACTGGATTTCTTTCCCCATGCTGACAGTTGACCTAAGCCACAGTAAGACAGGAAATGCAATTAGACAGCGGATGATCTTGGGAAGGACTGGAACTAATGGCTTAGCGTTTTGCATTTCTCACAAAAATTTAATTTATCCTTCCACTCTTCCTGCAAGTTGCATATGCGATGTAGTAGGGTCACTTCATCCTCTCATGTAAGGTGGTTGCCCTCTGATTCTCTTTCAGCACAGCAGAGCAATGTGATTAGCAAATTACAGCTCTCCCAAGTATCATTCTCACCAGCACTTGAGGTAGCACTGCAACAGGCAATGTAGAGATGTACTGGTGGCCCTGGTCACCATGTAGCACAGCTTTCCTGCTAGGCTTCGGCTGGAGGGTGTTAGACCCAGCAACGTTCTTTTGAGCTTGAGAACACATTCCCCAGTGCAGAGCAGCATCAAAGCCTCTGCCTATCACCTCCAGAAAACTGTGGCTAGCGCTCAACGTCACAAAATGAAAGAGAGGCAGCTGTGACACCCCACGGGAGAAAAGTAAGTGCCATACATGAGTCCCAATACGTGAAAGTAGGCAGCCCTGACATTTAGGATGGGAAATGGATAGGCTCCTGCTCTGGGCAAACAGCACACATATGCCTTCTGGGCTGATGTGGCCACATACCGCCATGAGACTACATAGCAATGCGGGGGAATCAGTTCAGTCTGCTGGAATGGAGCAAGTGTGTATTGGGTTGTTTATTTGCAGCACTAGATAACATACTTTTGTGAACACTACCCTAGCAAATTAGTTAGATCAGGATGATTCCCTGCCTTTGTCTACTCAGTGGCCTGCCAGTCCCTTCTGTTTTAAGCTCATCTGCGTTTGGAAGGTAAATACAAGATACACCCATGGTGACCTTTAGAACTTGAAGAACGGTTTGCATAACACTGTAGATGTATATGCCACGATAATAAATAAGCAAGTGTAATTACAGAATAAAACCTTGCCCCAAAGAGATACCCAGATGTGGACGGTGGAGCACACTGCCAAACATTCAGTACGGAGCAACCAGAGAACAGCGTGCTGGAAACAGCTTGAGTTTTTGCAAGAGGCGGGCAGGAAGCTTAGCCAACATGAACAGGCCTCAAGGGCAAGCTGAAAGAAATCAGGAAGCCAGAGGGGATGAGGAAGAAAGTGAAGGAGATGGTTAAAACATGCATGAGGGTGAGGGCTCGTAAGAGATGATGAGAAATAAGTTGGCAGAAAGGTAGCCATGGAAAAGGAAGAGGAACTTAAAGTCTGACAGCCGCAACTCTGCCATTGCCCTCTGTATGACCTTTGGCAAGTTGCCTCACCTTCCCTTGCCTTCTCTCCTCCCCTTTGTACGTCTCAGCTCTTTGGCTTGCAAATTCTTTGAAGTAAAACTGTCATTGCTATGGGCATGTTGAGTGCCCACTGCAACCAAACTCTGAACTCAGCTGGTTCCTTGCTAATACAAGGGACAGCAAATGACATCTTCCAATGGAAGATGAAAAGCTATTGGACAGACTTGGACATAGGCAAGGCATGGCTGTGAACAGAGGCCGACAGCCTCTGCTGTGGGGGCAAAACAGAGGAGCAGATGGCAGTACCGGCCTCCAAAGAGTGCAGCCTCTTCTTAAGAAAGAGCGATGAAGAGAAAGGAAGAAATGTTAAAACCATGATATGTGGGTGGAGGTGGGGAAGAGACAAATGATGTTTCAGTAGAAGAGGCAGGTGCTATTTTAGTCAAACTGGGCTAATTTCAGCTCTGATGTAACTCCATTTACGTCAATTTTAGTCAGTTGAGTTACACAAAGGATTAATTTAGGCCAGTGAGTTGAGGTGAGGGTGAGTCAGCTGAAAGTAAATATTGAGGTGTGAGAAAAAGATGTGAAACTAGCACCAGGTGAAGAACTGGAGCCATCCTGGATTTGGATGGATGTTTGAGAAGGGAACGTGAGGATGGGAGAGGGAGAAAAGAGGAAGCAAAGAGATGCAGGCCACAGGAACAGATGGGGCTGAGGCTTGCAGGTGCATACAGAGACTGCTGGTCTGAGGAGAAAAGGGTATCTGGTCTGAAGAACGGAAGAAAGGCAGCAGTGGAGGAGAAGAGGGACCTGAAGGGATGTCAGCCAATGTTTTTCACTCCAGCCCAGAACCATTCTCAAAGAAAGACTGTCTTGTCCCGAATTCTGCAATGAAATGGTTATTTACCACTATTTTACTCCTTCTCATGGTCCACCTCCCCTTGCCACTCCTCAGGGCTGCTCACACGCCCACATGCCGTCCTCGCTGACAGATCATAACAATTAAGCTTTGGTTTTATTTTTTGTGTTTAAGCACAAAATGTTCCAGGTTTAACCTGAAATAGACTTTGGATCAGGGATTCACAGCACAAGAGAGGCAGCTACATTTAGCAGGGAGAACTGGTCTGATTCACTCCTGGTGCAGCTTCACTGGAGTCAGTGGAAATGAATTTGTCCCATTAACTCTCCAGAGACAGCATGAAAGCTAAATGAAACTAGACAAAGCCATTCTCAGGCTGACAAAAGCATCCGTTCCTTAACTCTCACCAGTCTGTCCATGTAACACACAGAAAAAAATGTCTAAAATACCTGACACTATCTTTTTTAAGATGTGATGCCTCTCTCAACAAAGCATAGGAAATAGTCGAATGATGCCATTACGCTTAATTAAATGAAAACAAAAAATAATTAAACACACCTCTTGGTTCCTTTTCATCCCACTCTTTTTCTTTCCTTGCATATGCTTTCCATCAGTTGTTTCTGATGCCTCTTTTAAATTTACTTTCTCATAATTCCATGTTCTGAGATAATTTAATACCATGAAACCTTGAAGTTTCTTTTCTTTCTCCTCTCCTCATTTCCCCTAGCTTTTCTTTTCCAATTCAGTTTTTGCATTTTTGTTCTTTGAAATCATGATCTTTAATTGCATTTTATTTTCATTCCTTTCCTTTCCTCTACAGCTTGGACCTATTTTCATTCCCCTATTCTCTTCTCCCTTGTTCAGCATCAGCTTTAGTTAAGATAATAAAATCATCAGAATATAAGGTTAAAGATTATCTTTAACCGTTTATCTGACACCTACCCCAAACTTAGCTTCCCACCTGCCACAAATACTTGGTGCTGCACAAGAAATAAACACCCACAAAGCACTCTCGTCTCATGTTCAATCACCATAATAAATACAAACTCTCTGCTACAACACTCAATCATTATATTTAGTCTTAATATCATGCTTTTCATCTCTAAACACCCACAGAAGCATTGGTTAATTTGTCCTTACAACAGCCCTGCAAGATAGGTAATTACGTGTTATCATCTCCATTTTACACATAAGGAAACTCCAGGAGAAATTATGGAACTCCTAACAAGCACGCATACCCACAAATTTAAACAGGTATATCTTCTCCACATGCACAAACACACACAGTAACCTACATACACACTAGTCTACGCAGAAAATAAGGGACCAGCGAGTTCACTGTAGGATGGGAGAGGTGCTGGACACGTTACTTCCACCAAAAGAGGAACTTCTGAGAGCATGAGCTCAGCCTGGACAGCAGAAAAGAGGTGTAGCAAGGAAACACAGAGCTCTCTGCATCCCGCTCCGTAGTTTCTGGGCAGCATTAGATAACTTCTCTTTCCTGCAGATAAGCAAAAATGCAAGATGAACTCCTCCTTGCCTCATGTACTTTTTCCTCAGCACCACTGACACTTTGTTTTATATTTGCAATCTCACCACTGCTGACCACCCTCAAGCTATCAACACATGTTTCAGACAAAAAGTTAGGAAAACCCATCCATGCACAACCCCCAAGTGAGCTCTTGACCTATTTGAATGCTAATTACCTCGTAGTGCTCTGTTTGACTCCTTCTGCTGCCTATCAAGCTGTCATGATAGGAAGATAATAGACCTTCTGACCACAGGCAGCCCCCTCATAAAACCAAAGAAATGTAGCAGAAACATTAGTGGGAAAGCCAAGAGAAATAAAATGAAGACATGGATAATTTGTTTTGCCCAGGAGGTCAGCAATCTGTGCCAGAGTATCCTGTATGCAGCACCTCCCCTCCACTGCAGAGACGGGAAGCTCCCACTGCCCATCCTGCACTGTACTCCACCGCAGGAGCCCATACGCAAAAGAGGCTCCAAGGACTCTGCAATTTTGGCAGGGGGTCCATTTTGGAGGTTCAGATGCTTAAGTACGTTTAGACAGTCAATTGCCACTTAGGTAAGGGAGCCTTTGTAAATAAAGATGTCCTTAAGGATTCGGATCTTTGTGACTCCCTGTTTTGTCCTCCATTCAGTGTGACACTGAGGCTCTTACGGCCCTGGCAGTCATGGTCCAATGAAAACCATCCTCTCCTCTCTCTTCCAGTCCTGCTGCCTTATTTCCTGAACCCGTCACATCTCTCAGGACAGATAAGTTCAGTGTTGTCTTCCTTTCACCCCTTGCATTTTGGAGAGACTGGGGACAAGGCTATAGGATGCAGGTCTGCAAGTTTAATACACATTGCTTGTTCCATAAGAGCTTATGCAAAGCTCTATCTGAATAAATAAAAATATTAAGTCTCTATCATTGCTAGAATTTCTCCTATTCCAGATTTACTTAAAATCCTTTACCATTTTTAGCTTTTCCAGTCAGCCTTGTGTTCCTGATGTACTCTGTTTTCCCTATCAGTTTTCTACACTTCATAATTTCTGCTTGAGAACAATTGTGGTCTCTTTTTTCTTTCCTCCTCTAGTTGGCATATGTTACTTTTTTATTTCTAATTGTTGTCTGATCTCTGCCACTGAGCCAGCACAGGCTGCTTCCTCAAATACATACCTGGATGCCAAGGCTGAAACTTGAGAGAGTCCTGCCAAACCTGCTGACTCTGGATCCCCACAGCACAGAGGTTCACCCAGCTTCAATCCTTATTAATTACAGTAAATCATTCATATCACAGGGCAACCCAAATTTCCAGATTAGTTCATGGCCTGAGCATCTATGCACTGTACAGACAGGGTAGAAAGCCAGCCCTGTGTTACAGCGTACAGGTTGACAAGGAGAGGCCAAAGCTTTCTTCTAGGGAAAAACTGTGGTCCTACATGGACCAGCAAGCTTTGCTTTAAGGATCTCCTTTCTTTGATGCTCTTTGTCTGGAAAGGCCATGCCAGACTCACCACGTGTGGGCTGGATGGCCGTATCTGTGCAGATCTGGAGGGGTCCAAGCCCCCTCCATGTTCTCTGGGCATGGGCAGGGGGAAACTGCACTGCACACGCAGAGCAGTGCTGGCCACGTGGCAGGTGAGGGGCCCCACTGAATCTGCAGGTAGTAGGGAATCACTGATGGAAAGTAAAATAATTAACTTACCTCTGTGGTTTATTGGGAGCAAAGCTGTGAGACGGGTGAGCAGAAGTGCCTGGGAGCGCTGAAAAGACAGAGGAGTTGCTACCTGCATTGTGGCGGTGGTGGCATTGTAGGTCCTGTAACATGAAGAAGTCTTTAGAAGGGATTTCCAGTCAGGGAAGGCAAACACTTTACTTATATAGTGTGCATTCAGATTTTTAGGTGAGACAAAAGTGCCTGCTATTCTGGCCTGTCGCAGTGACCAGTCCTGCCTCATTGCTTCCTTGCACTCCTCCCGTCTACCTGCTGGTACCCATCTCTTATCACTCGTGGGAGGCTGCAAGAGCTCTGGGGCATGGCCATAGTGCCAGCACTAAGGGCCCTTGGTGCCATTTTAGCCTTCCCAACACAAATAATGTTAATGGTGATAATAGGTATAACAAGAGAAATGGAAAGCAAATGCACACACTGTTGAAGGGGAAGGTGGTGGGGATGGCAAACTTTAGGAACACTGCAAAATGAATTTCAGGATCATAATGAAGCATTTGACTTGGGGATGCAGGATGAAGGCATTAGAAGCTGCAATGGTGAAGGAGAGCGCTTCCAGCTAATGTGGGAGTGCAAAGGGAGACAGTGGCGGGACGCAAATAGGAGGCTCATGTGATTGCAGTGCTGAGCTAGCCAAGCCTTGCTAGTACTAGCATCATGCATCCTATCAGAAAGAGTTTTGCTCTAAGTAACAGGATACTCAACATAAATTTGAATTTTGCATGAACAAATGACAACTGCATTAAAAATGGGTTAGTCAGTCTCAGTTAATGCTTTTTGAACACAACCCGTGTTGTGTATGCTAGGCCTCAGCAT